GCGTTGTATCGGATGTCGGAACACGACATCGCGCGTCGTCGTCATTGAAATCGGACAAGTAATACGTTCCATTATAGTACATAAGTGGCTATGTAGTCAACCAGCGTAATCTCCTCGGCGATGTGATAAACGCAATAAAATGTAATAAAAACGTTGGCGCATTTTCTACTGAAAATTATTTGTAGCTTAGTTAGTCATTATTCTGAATTACTTTTAAATTCTAAATATGAGACTCGAAGAGCTGGATATAATGCGAAAGTTGTTGAGAAACTGGGGTGATGGGGTGTTTAAAAGTTTAGATACGCCATGGCTCTTCTAGATCACTTATCGCTTAGTCGTTCCGCGACGGAAACTCGAGGGCGAGTGGGAGGATTTTATGAAAAATCGAAATGAAACGTTTCGATTACGAGCTCTCCTCGACAATGCGATTTATTTACGCGATTTGAATAGTACAACGGTGGGCAGCGGGTCCGTACATAAGTACTTAATGTGTACCCCTGGTGATGCCGTTAACGCGTGTCGAATCGCTCGTAACGTTGACAATATTCGAGCCCCTTTCACCAATGTAAACCTGGACGGACCGGGAAATAGTATTCCGGACGTGGCATCCCGATATTGTGCTCGAGTGGAGTCGAGTATCGAGTGGGGCTCGTCTTTAGTTATGGTACGTTAGTTACGCAATGCTTACTTCGCGATAAATTACGTTACGATGAAAGAGTGTTCCTCCTGATGGTGCATCCTGTATATGCAATTTTTCGTGACGTAAAGTCGAAAGAAAAATTTATCTCGATTCGAAAGAATCGAAGAAGTTTTCTTACGTCAGAGAATAAATTGACACAATTCTCGATATACAATAGTCAAAAAGTAATATCCGAGGAATTAATTGACTCTTTTTATATTGTTGAATATTTATTAATTTTCGAATTGCAAGATATGCACAATCGTATAATACTATGGATTTGAGGGAGGGGAGGGGAGAAGGGGACGACAAGTTTATTCAAACTCGCTATACCAATCGTCCCTTTGATCAGATTAACTCCGAAAGCAGATCGGCAGTTTTCCAATAATTAGATTTTATTGATCACGTTTCCACTACTATCGAACCGAAGCTGCGCTTGCCGAAAATGACAAAGTAAAGAAAAATGCCGATGACATTGTTATCATTATTATTTTTAATATTGGCAGGAAGATACGCGGAACGTATCGGGTGTATTTTCTCAGAACGTTTTTTTTTTTTATTCGACATATGAGCGAGATCAGAAAGGGCTTGAAGGAGCAAAGAGGGTCAAAGGGAATATCCTTGTGCGTAATTTCGGTAGACCAATGAATTACGCGATTATTACCATAAGCGTATGTCGTTTCGGCGGGTCGGTGCCGATTATCGACGTGCTTTATTAGGGATCTACCTCTGCCAAACTGCGCGTTGAAAGTCGACGAATTGCCGAGGACTTGTTTGCTCAAGCCGAGCCCCGTCTTCTTTCAATACCACATCAAGCGGGATGTAATCCCTCGATATATGGCTCTCATTTGTAACTTGTAATCTTTGGCAAAATGCCGCACATAACTCAGAATTACGCCCCTTCCGTCCGAATGTCCGACCATAAACGTCAAGAACGGGAGCGTCTTAACATTTGATGTCTCTGTTCGTCCCGTCGACGTAGCTTTCGCGAAGCAATAATTGAACGGATGTAAAAAAAAAAAATTATCGCATTGAATAACGCGATGTTACGAACGATGTTATGAACAATGCTCGTTCGATTGGATCTCGTAATTACCCGGGCTGACAATCACGCGAGAATATGTACATCAGCGACTCGTAATGAGTTTGCTCATTTCGATCGAATATAATACCATCAGCACTTTTAATGCGATAACACACGTATTAATTATAGCGAGGCGCATTATGAAGCCGTCCTTTGATAACGACAAACTCACGTGCGCCTATCGCACTTTATTGCAAGCCTGGGCGTCGATATTCAATGGCTGCACTGCGAAATCGATATATCGGTTATTCACGTTTGCAGCACACCGAATTAGACTTCAATATCTAAGGCGTCCGTTTTTTCTTGGCGTCAATAATGGCTGCGGAAGAATAGCGTGTTGCTGCAACTCTCCGGGCCGTTTCGCCGAAACAAAGCGCCTCGGCGTAATGTTATTACAAAAGAGCTTCATTAATTATGCCGTAACTAAAGATAACTTTCGTAATTGCGTGCTATTAACTTCATATCAGATTTTAATATTTAAATAACGCGTCAATGAATGGATCGGTCTTATGCTATATTAAGACGTAAGTATCTTATATTCGTACCAAGCGTTAGACAGAATTAGATGCGTAAGACTCCGTAACCGTAATATTATATTAAGTAGATTATAATAGCATTTATTTTTAGACCGCATAATAGAATATTCGGCATAAACACGTTATTTTTTTTAGCTACATTGTAGAGGAAAATCCGATATACGCAGATTAAGCTACCTATTTTCACAAGAGAAGAGAGTATAACAAAAGCGAGAGTAAAATCCGATAGCTAATACTATCGATTATGCTTAAATACGAAATACCGTGTATGCTTTTTTTAATACAGCAATTAATACGCAACTAATTATAATTCCATCCGCGTGAAAATAAGCGGATAGCCCGGATTTGATTCGGTATTACCGAATCCAATATTACCCTATTTTTGTACGGGCTATGTTATCCTATTTCCGTAGGAAAGGATTCGCACGATAAGCGTAATCTCGCACCAGGAATTTCACGTTGGCGGAGACACATGGCGTAGTTGCGCGCGTTATGCAACGGCCCGTCTTTTGGTCGATCCCCCTCGAAATCAATTATCACTCCATTCCCTCGAAATTACCGTTAATGCCAGCGCCTGTCGGATTATGGGGCGCGAATTTCCAAAAAAGCGCAAAACTTCGGGGCCGGCAGCGACATAAGCGGCTTAGAAGCGCGTGCCTGGGCCAGCTGGCCTGATCGATCTATCGAAAACCCATCTCTACCGGGTATCGCGCACACGAAGGAGCACGGCATTAATCCCATAAATATACCGAAATTATAGCCGGCGGTGAACGGCTTTCGCTCCGGCAGACGCGTACGGGCCGAGATGCCGACGCTACACGTAAATTTTCCGCGCGAGGAGAATATCCGCGTCCCTTTATGCGCGTCATAGATCGCGTTTATGCGTTGAATCTCTAATAAAGATACAAGCGCAATATTCGTAAGGATTTACCTTTATGAGAATGAAGTTCTGGCCTAACAAGATCTCGGACTCCGCTTTTTTTCAGGGAAGATCCTCAGGTGGGATCGCATTTTAATTACATTTATTCTAGGAATATTATTTTACTTGATTTATAAAATCAAGTTTTGCGTTGAACTAAAATTTTAGTCTAATAAATGTGTGGAATCCGTGAAGTCGCGTCGAGTAGAAATTTATCTTCTGCTTCTATTTGCACGTGTGTTCGCTAAGATTTTTCATGCGTGAACAGCAGCAATAGCAGCGAATTGTAGTGCACATCGAAAAAGAAACTTCTTTGGATACACATGTCCTCTGTTTTCAACAGAGAATATCGAATTCTTTAGGCATTGTATTCTTTGATTCCTGAAAAATTCTGTAGTGCGAAGCAAAATAAAATAACATAACTTTTATGCCGACACATTTCAACGTATATCAAATATAGAAAAGAAATATATCGAAAATTTTATATGTATATTCTATAAAAATGCAAAAAATTCTTTGCATTTTTATTTTATGCTATTCTTCCTGTTTACAAACATGTGGGTTTTGCTTCCAAAAAAGCACGACGCATTAAAATGCTAAATGTTAGCAATAAACTCTGGAATCTCACTTAGAATACGCCACCATTTAGATTCGCCAACGCAGATTTTAAAAGATAGCAGATTTTAAAATGATAAATTGAGTTATTCTCCACGTTAATTAAAATAATTGCGCAAAATTATTTTTTGAAAATCTTCCTTCCTCTGGCAAATATTTAATAAATATAATAATTGTTTTTTTATACATAAAAAAAATCGATCAATTAACTCTTATTGTTTTATATTTAAATTTTAAACAATTTTTTACGCACTCAATATTTATAATTTAAATGCAACATTTTTAATGAGCATCTTAGCAGAATCTTAGCAGGTTCTATTAACACAATAACTAATAATATTTCAGAAAAATATTATCTGCGTCTCATCAATATAATAACGCCTTATCAGTTTATGATATATTGTGTATATAATATCTACAAACGATTACTATATTTCTTATACGATAAATGACACATAGTACATAATATGCGAATATGCTTTTACATTCTAAATATACGTTCTGAGAATTAATAAGAAATATCTAATGTGGATATCCTGAGAATACACGCGAAATAATATATGATACAATGATGTTTTGAGAATATCATCATGATATCATATATTATTTTGCAGATATTATCAGAATGTACTGACATATAAGACAATTTATCGCTCTTTATTGAATAGATAGGTATGATTGATACTAACGGACACAGTTTCATCATTTGCTAAAATATAAATGTAATGTAGTTTAATTAAGAAATATAGCAGTGATAGATAAATTGCCTTCAAAAGGTATACACCATAAATAAAATTCATCATCTTTTAACATTAGATGGTAGAAATAGATACAGCACAAATCATGTTACCGACACATGATTCTTTTCAGTCTTGTATCTACCCTTGACTTGAGCAACTCCTAAATCAATAAAATGGCTAGCTTACATGTACAGATGGTTACATGCAACGATTATAGCAAGATACCAACATATGTTATAACTTTGTATACGCAGTATAGTTTAAAGTTTAAAGTATTATTTTTAATAAAGGAATATTAATTCCATTAAGCCTTTTTTCATTAATCTAGCGAAGTTGGTTTGTAAAATTTATTAAATGATACCATGATGTAATATATAAAAAATATTATTTATTGATAATAATTTCTTGATAAATAATAAAACGTTAACAAAAATATAACTTTATTGTTTACAATGACATCATAAGTAAATAAGTTTATGACAATCTGTCGTAGAGTTTAAATTTGTAATATTTTTTATCAAGTGATGATTATGTCAAATTCTGCTGAACGACGAGTCATGGAGCGCTATATCCTTTTTTCCAAATTGTGTCCTTTAGGTAGGAGCCTACTATGGGATCATTTAGCATTTCTTCCACAATATCTTTAAAGCCAAGTTGACTAGCTACCATATATTTACATTCAACATCTGATAATTCAGATACTAAAGTTCTCATATTGTCCGTCATGGAATGATTGATACTTTTTTCCAATCTGTACCTAAAAATATATGTAAAATGATAGTAATTAAGAAAATTATTTAAGTATAAAAACTTCAAATAATAAGATTATATAAATTACATGTTAAATTTACCTGCGTGCGCAATCTTGAACGATCATAGGCGTTAGACTGTTCACCATCATAAATTCTTTGAGATATCGCGTCTCTCCTTTGAGAATACAATGATGATAAATAAGATTAACCCAATCTGCATGATAATTGTAAGCGCGAATAACAATAAGAGCTTGAGGAAAGTTCAAGATGTGAGACAATATCCTATCTAACTCATCTCTTTTCAAATTCAACAGACATACTGCTTGTTGATTTTGCGGTATTGCATTCAACAGTGAAATTTGAAGCGTAATTAATTGGGCTTGATAGGAACATCGACTCGCGAGATTTAATTTCTTATCCTGAAAATAAAATATATTATTTTTTATGGCAGTTCTCGTTTGTAAAATATACATATTTCTTATTTCATTTCTTCGTACCTGTAAATAATATTGAGTAGCATGAGTAAAATTTGTTACAGCCAGTTGCAATTGTTTTTGAATATTGTCACTTCGAGTCAACTTTATTTCTACTGGAATGCCAGTTATGCCTTTTCCACACTCTTTCAATATATCAGATATTAATTTCGTAATTATTTCTTTCGCTTCATTTTCCCACATGAGAGCAATTTCATAATATAAACGGAAATGAAGCGCCACTAGGGTAAATAACTCCTTATCTTCCGGATATTGACGCTTTAAGAATTCTAGTAGTGCCATTTTCAGACCTGGTACCTATTTAATAAAAAAAGACATAGATGTAGATTTCTGATAAGATATGTGCATCTATTTTATCATACGAAAAAAAGTACCTTATCCAAACCCTGTCCCAATAAAGACTCAAATTGGTCGTTTTCTTTCAAGATTTGAAAGATATAATTCATTTCAGTGAATCGACCAACGCCAGTTACAAGACGTACCTAATAATATAAAGAATTTAAAATTAAACAAATTATTGAAATTATATGATAATTAATTAAATAAGATATTAATTAATATACCAATATCGCCCAGTGTTTTAAAATTTGTAACATATTTGCGAGGCTTTGACATTTTCGTAATATTGAAGCTATTCCTTCCATGTTACAGGAAGCCGTAAAACAATCGTGAGATCTTATCAATAATTCTACTATTGTCTTCAATCCCAAAACTATAAAGCAATGAACAGAAATATATATGCCTATCATTATATTTAAAAAATAATTTAATAACAAAATAATTTGTTATTAACAAAAATATTACCATTTCTTTTTTCATCGTGAGTGCTAACATATCTTCCCAGCAATGATTGTGCTGCCTTTAACAATTTTAATCCTAATAATGAAATGTCACTACAAAGTTCCATTATTAGATGAAAATGTGAATTCAAGGAATAACCCCACATAAAGATTAAGTCTTCTTGACCGTCTGTAAAAAATTGATGATATATTTATTTTAATACATATAATATTACTCAAAATAAAAAATAAGAAACATTTTTCATAATTACCTTCCATGGCACGGTTTATATGTATTGTAATATTTTCAGTCAGAAATGTTGCAACGTCTTCCGTTTTAATTTTGAAAGACATTATTATATCGTTAGCAGTCTCAAATTTATTTTCAATATTACTTTCGATAATCTCCTGTAAAAATTTTATAGGCTCTTTTAATATCAGCAACAATTGGTAAGTCTTCCCTAAACGCGTAGCAAGTTTATAACATGAAACAATTCTAAAACATATCTCATTTCCATGTTTAAGGATTTCAGATAACTTTTCTAATATTGAAATACACTCCATCTGGCGATTGCTAATTGCCGTATCGTTTATTTTGCTGGATTCTACAATTGATGAAATCGCATTTACTGTAAAGATAAAATGTGTTGGAATGTGTTGGAAGAAAGATAAAAAGTATTTTCAGATGTAAAATAGAAATGTTAAAAAAAAAAATAATGAGGCATACGTGATGATGATGAAGAAAATCTTTGCAGACCGCGTTTACGTAAAGTGCCATATTTTTGTTGCTTGCTCTGATTTGTTTCCTCTAAAAGACTCTTTTGCTGCGAAGTTAAATCCGCTGGTGAAATTTCACCCTCTGCTAGACTTAAACATAACATCAATATTTGTAGATCCTAGAAAATAAATAAGCTTTTAAATTTAACAATATATTAATAAAGCTTAAAAATAAAAGAATACGTACTTTATGATTATAATTAAAAATAAGGCTTATTCGTAAGGCAATATCCAATTTGCCTAAATCAATTAATTTATTTATTAAAACTTCCGCAGCGTTTTTTTCATTTTCTATCAAGGAACAAGTGACTTGTAACTTATCCAAACCAGATAATAACTCCGTTTTTAATTTATTAAAAATATAATCATTGCAATCAAATTCTATATTTTCGGGTCCAGCTAAAATACATGATTTCCACATTGCCATCTCCAGAGTATCGATAGTTTGTTGCTCGATTTCAGTATTTTTCAAAGTCTCATAAGCCAGTTTTAAGACTTCATACCTAGAAAAAAATAATTATTTATAGTAAAAATAATATTACATTATAAGAGATATGATTTACCTTTCTTTGTGCGATACAACTTTCTCGGCATGTTCGACAAAAAATTCAACTGCTACTTGAGGTGGGACATTGTATTTATTAAAATTCTGAGCACATTGTATCCAAAAGGAAGAATTTAATTGACCATCTACATTTATAGATTGTTTGAAAATATTTCGAGACTGAAATCAATGTTATATTTATAGAAAAGATGATTAATAATAGAAACAGTGTTTGACTTGTCGGAAAACTTTGGAAAATATTACTTGTGCTAATATGATTTCGGATGAATTTAATCCGGCACAGCATGCTAATTCTAAGGCAACGCTAAAATTCTCAATTGCCATTAAACTGTTAATGCATCTTTGAATCTCTATGTCAAAATTATATGCATTATCAGTTAAAATAACAGCTGTGAAATTCAATGTTATATCGGTTTTCTGCAGAATTTTCGTTATATCCAACAAACGTTGAAAATCCGGTACTGCAACTTTAATGTACAAAAACAATTTTTACATGTTATTCCAACTGTATTTAGTCAAATTGATATAAGGTATATATATGTATATTTTACCTGGTAAGTCGGCAGAAAAATTACATTTTATTAATGCTTCAAGAAACTTTACTCGTAATGGCGTACTTTGAAAACTGTAACCAAGTGCTGTAACAATACATTGGGTTGTAACAACTGCAACCCAATACAGATTTTTCAAGTACGTGAAATGGACGCTGTCCCAATCCATAATTTTCTAAAAAAAAAAGGCAGAAAATATTAAAAAGATTGTTCAAACATATTGGAATTATTTCATTGTAATTCTGTACATACATTGTATTTAAGTGAAGAACATTGTGATTTAAATTCTATCAAATAACGCTGATTTTCCTTGAATTCACCATAACTAATTGCTTGCATCAAAAACTCAAAGAATGGATTTAAAATACTATCCTGCAAAATATTAGCAATTAGAATGGAGAATCTTTATCATTATATTAATTGAACTTACAGGCATGAAAATTTTGTAAGCTTGATTAATCGTGTTAATGAAACCACATTGAATCATTTTATTTAATAATTCCGACACTTTATTGGAAGGCCATATTTGCTGCTCTAGACATTCCGTGTAATCGAAAAGTATGTCCTCTCTTCCTATCGATATTACCATCCAACAATAGCAATATGCTGCTACTGAAGATGGCTACAAAAACAAGATTTTTAAAGAAAAATCAATATAATATGAATACTATTAATATAGATATTAAAATAAAATAACACCTCATAACATGTTGCCAAGATGGTCAATATAGGTCTTAGATTTGAGCGAGATGCATTGATTAATGCTCCAGGTGGGTCTTGACTTTGATGACAATTTAATATAGTTAACCATAAATTATTATCTGAAGGAGTCGAGACATAACTATTGGAAACATGTTCGATACTAGTTGCGTCTATCTTGATACCAGTTGAAGTGGATATTGGAGATTCCTGAAAAATATTGTTTATATATAACAATTAAAATTATTAATAAGCAACAATAATCTCACATGTTCTTCCGATCCAATTTTATGCTGCTTCGACGATAATTGTCTTGTATCACGGGATTTCGGTTTCTGCTCATACGATTGAGATTTGTTAAGTTTATCATTGTTTAAACATGTTAATAGATGCTCCCGTATACTCGCATTATTAAACAATTCGGCATTTTCCAATACCTATGTAGCATACGAATAATTCGAGCTTTATTTTTATAAATTTTACTTTAATCAGGCTATTGTTGTTTCGGAAAGTACCTGAGTCGTGGGATAAGCAAATATATGACAAACTGTAATAAATTCGAACCACAAGTGATGATTTGCTAAATATTTTAGCAACGTATCGGATAGCACATAATCATGAACACGCGCAAAGCGTACGATGATGTCCCAGATCTTCAGCGCTTCGATAAATTGCGCATTATCGCACATGAAGGTTTCATTCAGTAAATGTTTCTGGAAGCTCTGTTCTAAATATGACATCACAGATTTTAAATCAGTTTCACTCTTATATACTACATTTTCCAACAGGTTTCCTGTACAATAAAAAATAAATATCGTTTAAAATGTTTTTCCACGTTAGTATCACACATATAAGTTAGATATAAGTTAGATACCTATGGAGATGTTTAATTGTTCTTGTACATATTTTGCCACAGTAACGTGTAATCGTAAATTGCTCGAGTCGATTCTTAGCAACTCAATGAAGGAAATACTGCTGCATACGATATCAGACCTATCTAAATTTCTCAAAGCGAGAACGTGCGCGTATAAGGCCGCTTTAAATTTCCTAAAATTATTTTAGCCGTTAAATGATGCTTCTCAGCTGTTATAATAATAAAATGAATATTAATATTGCGAATATACGAACCTGTGGGAAGATACGTTTCCAAGTAATTTTGCTTGAGTGTAAGTTAAACAGTGCGCAGCCATATTTGGTCTACCTTCTTTCAGATAATAACCGTACGTTAATGTTTCTTGATGTCCATATTTCTTGATAAGAATTTCATTTGTAAAAGTAGGCAATGGTTCATTTTTAAAGCGCCATTTAAACAAAAGCTTCGAACTCAAATTTTTATAGCCGTCCAATAATTCGTATACTGTAATATCATCTTTTTTATTTTGATCTTCGATAATATATTGTAAACTCGGTATATGCGAAAGTGTGAACTGAAGAATTTCTTGCGAAATAACATACTCGTCAGTTTTTAAAACAAGTTTATCCGAAAATATATCTCGTATTAGTGTATTCTTCTTTGAAGAATTTGCTTCGTTACACAATGTGATCTGCGTTGTTTGCCATAATCGTAAAAATATTAATGTTAAACTTATTAAATAATTTGTTTTTAAATAGGTATTAAAATCGTCCGAGATATAATTAATCGACTCTATAATTCCATATATTAATGCATCTTCGTAATTATCTCGAGCGTTACACATATTAGTTAGGATATTAAACAATTTTTTCAGTTTTGAGCTGCCTTCTTCAGTATGACTGTTTTGCAAGCAATGTGTAAGGCACAATTGTTGATCAATGCTTTGCAAAAATTCTGCTTTATCAATATTGCAGGAATTTAAAGATAATATTGTACTCATTTCTTCCAATGTAATACCACAATTGAAGAAACGATTTAATATCAATTTCATGTTATTCTGTTCTTCTTTCGTATAAATACCATATCTAAAGTAATATATTTAATATTTTACATTTCATACATTTTTCTCTATAATTTATTATTATACTAATAAAAAAGTATAAATAATATAAAAAAGTATAAATGATATAGTTATTATATAATAGTTATTATACGCACCTACATAAATAATTTTTAGTTAGATCTTTTACCAAATCACTAGCATGTGAAGAATCTATATAGTCAATCATATCAGGTGTAATATTTAAATTCATAAATAAGGATTTTATGTGATGATCAATGTCGTCTGAAATCTGCAGAATATCTGATTTATGTCTTGCATCAATCCATAACCTTAAGGTATTAATTTTATTATTCGATAATAAATAGTCCCATAAAACGTTATTTGACACATTTCCTAAAATCTCTGGTATATTCAAAGAAAAATATAATTCAATACGTAAAGCTTCTTCGGTATCTTGTGGTAATTTCATTACATCATCTATACATATACAAGAACTTAATCCATTTTCAACTCTAAAAAATAAATAGATATTAATATGATAATTTTTTTATCATGTATTTCCTATTTTCACGAACTTACTTGCATTTGTCTTCATACTGTTTAATAAATTTAATAAGATTGCAGGCTGCAATGTGTTCAGTCTTGAATCCATTAATATTTATCATATATTCTGATAAATAGTTTCTTAAAACTGAGTCTTTGCTCTTTATGGAAACTGCAAAAATATATTCTACGGGATCCTTTCCCTATAAAAAAATAATCATCTATATAATTATTATATATATATATATATATATATATATATATATATATATATATTACTATATTAATTA